TAAACCCCTGGACAAAAACCCCCCGCGACATAAACCCCCTTGACAAACACCCCCCTCCCGCGACATAAACCCCCCGGATAATAACCCCCGGTCTGAGGTTTATATAAAGAAATAATAACGATGATGTGAACCAAAAAAAATACATTAAATTAATTTAAATTTTTACGAATAAGTAAATAGTTTATATCTAAAACAAATTTCCTCCAAGAAGCAAAGTCGATTGCAGACTATTTCGAGGACTACTGTATTGGCAGATCACAACGTCGAGGTCGAAAACAACCTATGTTTCCATTTGATGTGTGGAACATGCACACACTGTTGAAGGCTGGCACAGAAGTTTCCAGTCGCATATGGGATGTTGCCACCTAATATTTGGAAATTTATTGACTTTATTAAAAAGGAACAATCGCTCCAAGAGGTTTATTGTACACAGATTAATTCAGGTCACTGTTTACCAAAACAGAAAAAAAAATATTGATAGCAGCACTCGAATTTTAACTGTTGTTAAAATTTTTAATGAGTCCATCATTAGTGAGTATTTGCGAGGTATCGCTCACAATCTGTCTTTTTTAAAGTTAAAATAAAAATAAACAGTTTTTTTCTAATGTTTGTTTTGTATTTATATATTAATTTTGGTTCCCATCATCTTTGGTTTTTCCTCAATTGGGGGGTTTTTGTCCAGGGGATTTATATCGCGGTTTTTTTTTAAATGGGAAAAAAATAAAGTGGTAAATATCCCCCACCTGAAACCCTAGAAAATTCCTAATCTAATATCCTTGAACCGTCAAACCCGAGATATAAAATCAGACTCGGACGCCATGATAATTAATTTCGACTCCATAATCATTCCTCATATCTCATGATGATTCATTTAGAAAACATTACGATTTCACTCATTCCACAAGTGTAATGGCCCTGAGCATTTTGCCAATTTTGATCCATGGCGAAGCACCACTAAAGAACGAATGATCGATGTTTAATAAAAGCTTGGAAAAATGGAACTATGTATAGAATTTTTCTTAAAAGTATCAAAAACTTGCATTTTATGCTATTTTGAAAAAAAAACATATCATAACAATAATATCATAATCTTGTAATTTTGGTGATCCATTACTTCTCCCTTAACACTCCCCTCCCCCATCCCACCCATCTTACAGGATCATCCCACAACAAACATTCAGCACAAAACAATGCGATCCTCTTGAATGTGTATGCAGGCGGTGTTTGTCATTTGCCTCTGGAAATGTCTGTCTTATCTCCAATATTTAACAGCCATCCACATCCTAAGTCATACAGAAAAAACTTGTTTTAAGAAAAATTGAACATCTAGCACAAAAATTATTGAACGAGACACCGACGTCACAATAAACTTTTGTTTCTAACACGTTTCTTTTTCTCAACAATGCAAGTTATTTCGTACCAGCATCTATACGAGTTAGCTTTATCATCACGATCTGATGTTCGTTGAAACAATGTTTAGCCCACACGCAACCTATTAAATAGATGGGGGTCCACTTGTGTTTAACATAACGCAATTTCATCTAAATTATTTTGTTAACAATAAATTTATATCTAAAATGAATGAGTCATTTTGCTGACAAAGCAGCATTTGTAATCGTGGGTATTGTTTAGATTAGTCATTTGATCATACGGTATTTCAGTGCATTTCTTTTCAAAACAGGTTTAGTTCAAAATGCTTTATGTGTTTGTACTAAATAGGATTCTGATTACGCAATTTACAAAAACTTCTAAGTGGTCAAATGGCAGAACATTAGAATACTGAGCCTGAAGACTCGTGTTCCAATCCGAGTTTTCGTTGTCTGTAGCCGTGAATCCACACCTCTTACATGAGCACCTGACTTGATATATTAAAGGCGTTTAGGCGTATTGCTGACTACACTATTGATTCCAGAGAGGCCGGAAAATTCTACTTCACTTGCGCAATCAACCATAATGTTCATAAAGGAACTTTACTTTCCAATACTTATAATAGTCAGTTATAAATGAAGCAGATTAACTAAAATTAAAAAGATTGCTGAACAAAATATGGGACTCAAATTTAGAGAATATCTCCCTTAAGAATCATTTGCGTTTTAACTTTGTTTAAATTTAAGAAGTATAGGCATTTTAAATAAACAATTTTTTTTTCAAAAGAACATATTTAATATATCAGAGACATTCGGGCAAGTGTCCAATCGGGCATTTTTTCACATTCGGGCAAGTGTCCATTCGGGAAATTGACTTTCGGGAAAACGGCATTCGGGCAAGTGTCCATTCAGGAAATTAACTTTCGGGAAAACGGCATTTGGGCAAGTGTCTCCCAACTATATTATAAGCAGGCTGTCATTGACATTCGTAAGATAATTTTTATACACACATTTTGTTTTGATGATGCGTTTCTGTTTGAGTTGTTTTGTGCTTTTTGCTTGAGCTGCCGTTTGTTTTTGTTTGTGTTTTCTTTTGTGTTTGTATTAGTGTTTGCGTGTTATGTTTGTATTTGAGTTTGCGTTTGCATTCATGTTTGCGTGTATGTTTGCATTGTGTTTGCGTTTTGGTTTGAGTTTACGTTTGCGTTCTTGTTTTCTTTTGTGTTAGCGTTTGTGTTTGCGTTTTGCGTTGTGTTTCCATTTCTGTTTGTTTTTGCGTTTGCGCTCGTTTGCGTTTGTGATTCTTTTTTGTGTTTGTATTTGTTTTTGCGTTTATGTTTACTTTTGCATGCAGCGTTTGCGTTCTGCTTGAGTTTGAGTTTGTGTTTGCGTTTTTATTTTCTTTTGTGTGTTTGTTTGGTTTTGCTCTGTTCCCAAGTTGATACATTCAAACAAAAGATTCACATGTTTGCATTTGCGTTGTGTTTGTGTTTTTGTTGGAGTTTCCATTTGTGTTTGCGTTTTGTGTTTGCTTTTTTGTTTGCGTTTGTTATCTTTTGTGTTTGTGTTTGGTTTTATTCTGTTCCCAAGTTGGTACATTTATAAAAAAAGATTCACCGTAAAAAAAAATGCGCATAAAATTACTGACCTAATTCCCACCTTGTGGACTTAACCATAATCTTTTATTTTATCCGGTCCCCGGCTGTTGATTTTTCAGCCTACCAAAAAAATTAGACATCCCTGCTGTCTTCAGTTCTTCGAGAAGACCCCACCTCCTGTTCTGTTTGTAGTACCATCTAATTCACTTTCCCTGCGGTTTCACTCAAGAACCTGGCGTGTCACATTAGAGTGAGCATTTCGCAGTGTGCCTCCTAAACACCGCCACTTTCTCCTTATTTGCACAGTCGTGGTCTCCTGGCCTTTCCTTCTCAATGGTTCAATAATTTATTACTTATATTCGTATCATTTGACAATCAGATTTCTCGTAAATAATATTATATATATATATATATATATATATATATATATATATATATATATATATATATATCTTTAATACTCATTTTTATATCTACGGCTAATGTAGGCCTATATCTCAAATCGTATCATAATTAACTTAGTTGGACACATTATCTGTTCGTTTTTCAGCCCAGATTACTCAATGATTCATACATACAAACATATCGTGATGATTTTTCTCATTAATACATTGGTCTTGACTCGCTAGGAAATCATACATGGTTTGACCATGTAAAAACAAATTCAATTACTTAGCTTGAAAATAAATCTTTTTAAAAAACATATTTAAGACAAGCAAAACTTAAGTTCATGAAGATGTTTGAGTGTTTTTTAACGAATAACGTTTTATGATCTATCAAAATTATTATGCTTTATTGTATAATTGAGTTAAAAGTTTCTAAATTTCTGTCAAAACATCACATACATAAAAGAAAAAAACAGAAATACAAAGCTCACGTATATGCTTTATTTTATTTTGCAAAGAAAAAAAGTGTAATAGCTCATCAACATGAGAATTCAACACCCTAATTTTTCTCTCTCGATACCGTGCAGGTATAAACCTTACATTCAGAAGCTACCAAGCTTTTTCTACAATTGATAACTCGATCGTTCAGTGTCTCACACTAAG